TGGAAGGGGCCTGAAAGACCATCAAGTCCAACTCATTTCTGGAATAAGTGAATTCAGTGGCTTTGCCAACAGATTGCATTTTTTTTTTTGTTAAGTTTGAAAAATGTTTGAAAAGTTTGAAAAATGAAAACAAAGCAAAAAGAAATGTAGAGTGGCTAAATAAAATATTACCTTCCAGAAATGTTGAGTAAATCTATTACAATAAGAAAACAATGCTATCCTCTGTAGTTTATGCACAACAAAATATATATTGTTATGTATGGATTTCAGCAGAGGATGTCAAGACATCCATATATTTGTCCATTCATAAATTATAACTACCAACAGCCTGTATAAAAATCTAAAACTTAATCAAGTCCTCAGCCCACTGTGTTATGGAAGCTTGCAGGTTGTCTACCCAATGTGGTTCTATTAGTCAAAAAGCCATGGGACTGTAGCCAACTTGTCTTGGTTCAGAAATTGTCATTTGTTGGGGAGCAGAAAGAAAGTGAGGTGAGAGAATGGCAGTTATTGGAACTCCTGTTGAAGGCAGCCTTATCAAACCAGAAAGTTATAAATAGCTATGAACGGCTATGAATATGGGAAAGAAACAGCTATGAATAGTCCAAACAATGCAATAGACTGTTTTGTAACCCCAAAACAATCCTCCCTGTAAGCCAGAAAGATGGCCTGGAAAAAAGAGCAGTAACTTCAAGGAGAAATTTCTAGTCATCCTCTTGTTTTCTCCATCTTGCCCAGTAACTGTGCATGTGCCATGGTGGAGCATAAGAGAGGAAGATGCTTAGATGAGAAAGAGGGAGAGGGAGCTGAAAAGGTAACAGGCACAAGAAAGAGGCTGGAGAGAAGTGGGGGTGGAGAAATGTGCTCTCTCTGGAGCAAGAGGTGGAGGAGCCAGCACTGAAATCTGCTTACCACTAAATAGTCTATACTAGTATTCATCTTTCTGTACTCTGCTTGCTTGCAAAGCTCAAAGGTAGGCAAGAACCCAGCAAGATGGGTTAGGAAAAGACACAGTGTCTCAGACAAGAATAATTGCACAGCATCCTCATCAGAATTGCTCAGAAGAATATCCTGTGGTGTTCAGCAGTACTTCTCCTGGTGAAATGGGGACAGAACTGCAGCCTGAGTGAACTGCACATGTGAACAAGGATTTGGTCTGGGCTTTCCCACCTCCTAACCCACTCATTGCTTTGGACACTGCATAGTATTGGATCTCTTTGGTTGTGCTACCTGCATAATTTTACTCACATTGTTTTAGGAAACAATCCATAGAGAAATAGCCAGAGCAAGATCCTTCTACACTTTGTATGTTAAATCACACAGACCACTAAGTTGGGAACATCACAGGGCAAGCTTTCATGCAGTTAGATCTCTGATGCCCAAGATTTAAGATCTGACCATCTCATTGCAGCTTTGTATCTAAAAACTACCAACATGTCCTTGCCTTTGCTTTTGCCATTCATGAGATCAACAAGGATGCTGAACCTCTGCTTAATGCCACACTGGGGTCCAAGATTTATATGAATGCTTTTTCTTCATGGCTCACTTCTCAGAACATTCTGGCTGCCCTCTTTTCAAGACAGTTGCTCTCTGTCAATTACAACTGTGCCCAGGAAGACAAATTGATGGCTGTCATTGGTGGCCTCACCTCCCCAAACTCCATCCAGATGGCCAATGCCTTCAATACCTACAAGATCCCACAGGTATGAGAGGTGCTGAGACTTACATAGGGGAATCACAACGAGAGAAGTTTGGTCTATTTGTGTCCATACCAATATTACAAGAGAGAAACTTACCAGCTGATCCCATGTTGTGAGCTCTGAAGTTCTCACAACATTCAGAATGTCATCACTTTTCAGAAGAATCCAAACTATGAATGGGGCCAGATAGAACTATTGATCCTTAGAAAGCCAGGGTTCCCCCCCCCCATATCCAGCTACTGCCCAAAAAATGATGTACCAAGTGATTTGATTAAGAAACGGAAGGCTGCATTCTTAGAAACCACAACATCTGCTTTACGCTCCTATTCAATTAGATCAAAATGTAACCTTGACATGCATTTACATAGCAGAAGTTTATGTTTGAGAAGGAATGGATGGTTTTCTCCCATCAAAAACTGTAATATGTTTCCCATTAGCTTGGTTATGGCTCCTTTGATCCAGTCCTGAGGGACAAAACTCTGTTCCCTTCTTTCTATCAAATGGTCCCAAATGAAGAACCTCAGTATGTTGGGATTGTGCAGCTCCTCAAGCATTTTGGGTGGAACTGGATTGGCCTCGTTCTTTCAAATGATGATAGTGGAGAAACTTTTCTCCGAATCCTGAGACCAAGGCTCTTACAGAGTGATATTTGCATTGCTTGGGAATTGATGAGCCCACCAGTGACACGGTTTTTACCAAGAGAAATACTTAAGGAGAGATTGAGATCCTTTCAATCCACTCTCCTGTTGAAGGAAACCAATGTGATTCTAATCTATGGTGAGAGTAATTCTTTGGATGGTTTCCGAATATTTATATTCATGAGTGAAATTCTAGATATGCACCCTGTAGAAAGGGTGTGGATCACAACAGCTGAGTGGGACTACACTGCTGTTTCTGTTAGAGACCAATTCACTGCCAAATCCTTCAATGGCACTTTGTCATTTAATCTCCATACAAATGTGGTGCCTGGATTCCAGGACTTTCTGGTGAGCATAGATCCATATCGGTCTCCAATCTTTTACATCCAGCAGTTCTGGTTTAGTGCATTTGCTTGTTCATTCCCACAATATAAGCTTTATGAAGGGAACAAGGAAAACTGCACTGGAGAGGAGAAGCTGGAGAGCCTTCCTGGTCCTACCTTTGAGATGGACATGTCTGGCCAGAGCTACAATATCTACAATGCTGTCCATGCTGTTGCACATGCTCTCCTTGCCATGAACTTGGAGAAAGGCAAACTGAAAGCAAGAGGAGGACGTGAGGAAAGAGGCTTCCTCTGGAAAATCCAGCCGTGGCAGGTAGGCATAGCTACAGACAAATCAAGATCAAACCACAAGATAGAATGGAACAAATGAGATCTAGTAGTAAAGCAAAATCATAAATTCATCACTGAGTGGGGGAAATCCTGTGAGCAGACCCTCCTGCCAAGGCATGACTGAAAGGGAATATCTCATCATATTCTTGGAGCAGTGATAGAAGAGGAAACTGGTGGGCATCTCATGTACAAATTTGTTTTACCCCCTAAAAGCCAGATAAGGTAAAGGAAATCACTACCTGATTATGTACCTTCACCCATCCCAAATCTACCACCAACCTGTTTTATTGGGTGACTGTTCATATTATGACAGAAGACTTCTACCAACACTTCTTACTATTTGTGATTTGATCAACTTCAAGCATAGCCCCATGTAGTTCAATTCTACTACAACTCCCAGCATGCCCAGGCACCATAGCCAGCTAAAAATTTTGCAAGTCAGCAGAAGCATGGATGCAGCCTTCACCTCCATGCTTCCTCCCACCTCCACAGGCTGACCTTTACTCTCCAGGTTCAGAAGGTTATGGGCAGCCACACTAGATTGTGTCATTAAGGCTTTTGACTTTATACCCAAAATCAAAAAGCTCTGCATTTAATGATGTCTAAATTTAATGGTCATTTCATACAAGAAGTATATGGCATATTTGAAGCTGTTCAAATCTTTGATTTTGTTGCCTGTCAGGATGACGATGATGACTGTTATTAACATTTCTATATTGCCCATAGCCAAAGCATTCTTGTTGGTTTATAACAGCAGTCATAGAACTATACACACAAATCACCCATCCAGATTCTAACCAGGCCTGCCCCTGCTTAGCTTCCAAGATGAGGCAGGATCAGGCACTTCAGGCTATACAGAAGCTTTGCTAATGTAAGTGTTGAATCGGTACACTTTATCTTTTTACTCCATTCCTTGAAAGGGCTGTCAGAACCTATGATGTCTCATCCTAGAACCAAGGGGACAAACTGCTCCTCCATACTTCCATTCTCATATAATCTTCTTCATCCTCAACATTGCACTCATAACCTAGCTACTGAAATATCAATTAGAACAATTCCAAACCCTCTTTAGCTTTCCAGGTACTAGATCTTGCTTGCTTATCAAGTCCTGAAAACAGATGCACCTGAAAACAAAACTGTTCCAGACTCAAAAATTCAACCACTTTCTAATTTCATTTATTTACTTATTTCATGCTATCCAGTAGCCAGGGCTCTCTGAGTGGCTCACAAAAGTTAAAGTTAAACAACAGTTCTTGAAGACAATCCTATAAGCAAAAATAATTTTCAGGTACAGAAACATAATAATTGTAGTTGAATCAGCACTGAAGCATAGCAGCAGTAGAGAATCAAAGGGACAGAGAAACCTTTCAACCCACTTTCCTTGGCAGATCTTTGAGTTTAGCAGCAAGTACAACACCCCTCAGTGTACAATCTGTCATTCAGTCATGTGCCATCCCTATTTGCTTCATTACCCTTGCTGGTGCAGTTTAGCCCATGGATTCCGGGGGAATAGTTAGCCTGTGGCAGAAAACTGCCCTTGTCAAGTTGGAATTGGAAAAACCTGTCGCTTCCTCAACAGAAGGAATGATGGTGAAAGAAGAGGCCAAAACCAGTGAGAAGACACAGAAAGGTTACACATTGGAGGTAAAATCCAATTACAGGAAATTACAACACTTTTCATACAACCCTTAATTTGGAAACATCCTACAAGTCACATCTTGCCAAATGCCAGGGAAAGAAGATTAACCAGTTTTAAATTGGCTGTCTTGGTACTTGTATGCATGAACAGTGATTTATACTTACAATCAATCAATCAATCAATCAATCAATCGTTTCTCCTCTAATCCAGCTTCACTCTTTTCTGAGAAGTATCCACTTCAATAATAGTGCTGGAGAAGAAATCTTCTTTGATGACAAAGGGGACCTGCCTGGTGGATATAATCTAATCAACTTGGTCACCTTCCCCAATGGATCATTCCAGAGAGTCCAAGTTGGAAGGGTGGATCCCACAGTTCCTACAGAGGATGGGTTCTTCATCAATGGAAGTGCCATTGTGTGGAATCACAAGTTTAAGCAGGTGGGAGTGGTCTTCATTATTAGGCCCATGAATTCCTCATATCTGAACATGCAATGCATTGCAGCAGAGATGTTTACAGAAGAGGTCAAAGCTTCAGCTCTTCATTTAAGGGGGTCAGAGTTGGGAGACAAGTCTGGAGCTGGGGGACTCACCAAAAAGTCCTCTTTCTTGCTGAAACCCACAAGCTTCAGAATGAGGGAGCCCTTGGAGGAGGGCTTCCATGTATGGTGTTAGAATGGGTAGGGCTAGTATGGGTAGCTTTAGCCCTGGAGGCACTTGAACAGGTGTTGGGAGCCATGTAGAGATTTCTAGATCAAATCCAGTACTTTGAATTTGGCCTGAAATTGAAAGAGAGAAGACTGGTAAAATGTTATCCTAACAACTTGTCCTAGTAATAGTTTCCCAGTCATAGCCTGCGCTAGTTGAACTTCACAGGTTGGCACACAGACAACACATTGCAATAATACCTGGTTGATGCTGGGTCAAGTTGTGCTGTGACCTTGATATCCAGGATGCTGGTCCCAAGACCTTCCTGTATTCCTGCAGGCATTCAGAGAAATACAGTGGAGAGGAGAATTAATTTTCTGTAGTAAAAACTATATGGCAAGAGAACTGTGCTGAGTCAAGTGAATACATGCATGGACTTGAAGTAAAAGTATTCTGTCCTGCTCTTTTTCCTGTTTCCTCACCCTCTCTCTTTTCCCTTTCCAGATAAAAATTATGGTAAAAATTACAAAATATTAATTTGTTTTATGGTGAGATCCCTGCCTTTTCTTTCTTTTCCCTGTTATTTTTCTTGCTGTTAATGTTGGTGAATATTTTGATGAGACTGCAAATAAGATGGCGCTGACTAGTTGTTGTTGCCTAAATGGCTGTTTGCGTCAGAGTTTCTGGGCCAACATTGTCTCGAGAAACAACCAAATTATGAAAAAAGCATATTCTTCCTTAGGAAAAGTTTTCCCCCTTTTGCAAAAGTCCAGAGAAGACCACCCAAGGTTTGCATTTGCAGCCAAAGCATCCTTCCTTCTGTTTTCCTTTAGACAATGCCCCGTTCTACCTGCGTGGAGAGCTGCCATCCTGGGCAGAGCAAGTTTGTCCAGCAGGGGGAGCCTGTGTGTTGCTACGATTGCATTCAGTGCCCCAAAGGAGAGATTTCAAGCCAGGTAGGTGAGTGAACAAATCAAGAGCTATTTGGAAAATCATCTAGTAGTTTTGGGCTCAGAGCCAATGTAACTGCTAACTGTTTTGCCTGTGCATGCAAAGATAGCTGGACTTGAGTATAGAGAGGACAACCTGAGAGAGCAACCCCTGCAGATGCTGGAAAAGGTGAATCTCCATAATAGTATAAGAAGAGCTATGCTGAGTTGCACCAAAGGTCCAATTAGCCCAACACTAACCAACAAGCTGTCTTCAGGAACCCCCAAGAAGTGCAGCAGCACACAACTGCCTAGGCCTCCCAGCAACAGGTGTCCTGGCCTGATATACATAACTTGCTAATGACACTGGGGGAATATATCTCTTATTTGCTGCTAGATCAGACTAGATGAGAAGAGATGAAAGTTAAAGTGTTTGTGTATTTGTTCTTGCAGATGCAGACCAGTGTGAGGTGTGTCCAGACGACCAGTATCCAAACAGCAACCATGACCGCTGTATTGCCAAGGAGATAACCTACCTGTCCTATGCTGAGCCCTTGGGAATAGCTCTGGCCTTCTTAGCTCTTGTACTTTGTATGAACACAGCTGTTGTGACTGGGACCTTCAGCATGCACTGGAACACCCCCATCGTCAAGGCCAACAACTGGAGCATCACCTGTGCCCTGCTCTGTTCTCTGCTGCTCTGTTTCCTCTGTTCCTTCCTTTTCATTGGGAGACCTGTGAAGGTGACCTGCCTTCTGAGGCAAACTGTGTTTGGCATCGTCTTCTCCATGGCTGTCGCTTGCGTTTTGGCAAAGACCATCATGGTGGTGTTGGCCTTTGTGGCCACTAAGCCAGGAAACAGGATGAGGAAATGGGTGGGGAGGAGACTGGCTGTGTGGGTCATCATTCCCTCATCTCTGACTCAAGTTGTAATATGCTTGGTGTGGCTGGTGACTTTCCCCCCATTCCCAGAGCTGGACATGCACTCCCAGGCAGACACAATCACAGTTCAGTGCAATGAAGGTTCAACCCTCATGTTCTACATAGCCCTGGGCTACATGGGGGTTTTGGTCCTGATTAGCTTCACCGTGGCCTTCCTTGCCAGGACGTTGCCTGATACCGTCAATGAAGCCAAGCTGATCACCTTCAGCATGTTGGTCTTCTGCAGCATGTGGGTGTCCTTTGTGCCCACCTACCTGAGCACCAAGGGGAAGTACTTGGTGGCTGTGGAGGTCTTCTCCATCCTTACCTCTGGCGCTGGCTTACTGGGTTGCATCTTCCTCCCCAAATGCTACATCATTCTTCTGAGGCCTGACATGAACACTAGAGAGCAATTAGTAAAGAAAAGGAATCATGCCAATGGGGAAGTGAAATAATGTCATTATGAGCAATGGGAGTCCATTAGGAATTTTGTGGGTTCATGGGGGAGAAGGGAATGTTTGAAATAGCCTACTTTTAATCAGTCATAAACAGCAGTGTAGGGTGAGGGCAGAAGCAGGTTGCTAGCTTATGAAGCTTTTTAAATAAGTGTCACATGTCACCCAAAAGTGGCCCTAGCAATATTTTACATCAGTTTTCTGGTCCTCCTGAAGTTTCCAAGCACTTTCCAATGGCAGTCCCATGTGTAGCACATAACTTTATATTACCGTATTCTGAGATGTATCCAAGGTGGGATATGCTGTACAGCAGAGAAACATGATTTTGCCTCTTGAAATACTACATACCGTTCTCCTTTCAACTCACACTTTCTGTTCATTTTTGGTTTATTGTACACATTTTCCATTCACACCAGGGCTCTGAGATAACAATTTCTGGATAACAATCCACTCATATTCCAGAAAATATTGTGTTTTCAGCAAGAACCTGAGAGCCCATATGTGGGGTTGGTCCTAACACGACTTACGTTGTTATCTGTCAGAATATTTACAGTTGCAGTTGTGCATGCAACGTTGTTGCCCCAGCAGCACAAATGGTTCTACATGTGTCCTAAAGAGTGGAATTGATGTTGCAGACAGAACAAAGTCCCATGAAGAACAGAATCATGGTCCTCTGTCAAATCTATCCACATAATTTTCTAGTACTTTGACTGCTATGTTGTTTTTGATTTCTAACTCTTGTAGGCCACTGCCAACAACTGATCTCAAAATGCATGCAATATATTATGATATAGCTTTACAGGATCATGTTTCAATTTTTATAGTGTGGTAAATGTCCTTGGTATTTTGTTTCATTTGTATCAATTTGCATTAAACAATTTTGTTTGGAGAGGTACACTTCCCTTAACCTTTGTTTTGTGGATCATATAGATTGCTATAGAGTCTTTTTACTCATTCCCCTCCTACCTCCAAGGTGTAAGTCAAAGCATAGCTCTCTGTCCCATATGGAATGGGAGACACAGATACAGTTTTGGCAATATGGGGAGACCCAATGAAGGACTATGAATGGGTTGCATCTGGGCTCTCCTTGAGGCCCAGGCAGTTCTTGAAATGCAGGTTGGCCTGAACACTATGGCAGAGAATGATAGCAGCAACAGTGTTCACTCAAGAAAAGCACATACACACAAACGCACATGCAGAAACAAGTGTTGGACTGCAGCACTTAGCTGGTCTGCAAGGCTCTGCCCCAAAGAAGATCCCCAGGGAAGGAAACAGGAGGAGCTAGGGGGCCTCTGAGAGCTGTGTTTTTGGGTTACTCTGGTTCGGCTGCTCCTGTATCTGGGCTACCTACTCCAATGGGCTGTGTTGTCTGGTCTGGATGACGCAAGCAACAATTGTGGTATTCAGAATCCAAAGATAAAACAAAGATTTCCAACCATGGTGAAGTAACTTGGCTGGGTCTGCATGACAGGATCACACACTTTTAAAGTATACACTTCCCCAATAACACATAGAGACCACCCATTTGTGCTAATGAGAACAAAGGCAATGCATAAGGTGAGGGTAATACTTCTCTCAGGAATATCCTGCACTGCCTTTTAGTGTTTATCGAGACCTCCTTTCAATTTGTAAAGAAGGTTGTGGATTTTCTTTCAGGCTGCAATTTTATTAAGATTCACACAAGTGGCCTACATTTGAGTAGGAAAATATTTGTTGGCACATGGCTATGGGAAGTGGTTCAGGCCAGCCAGCAGGGCTTACCTCTGAGTAAGCTGCTTTGAGACACCATTTAGGATAGCTCTAATTCTGCCCTCCCATCCTTGTGGAAGAACAGCATCCCTGCAATACAGAATGAGGGTGGAATAAATGCAAGTCTAAAAAAATCAGGATGTGTCCCCCATATTTGCGCACCTCTCCCATGTCACTGCTGGTGAACATGTCCACAGGGCCTTCACCATCCTGCTTCTCCTGGCTGGTTCTATGCCAATCCTATCATATTTGCAAGGTTGGGCCATGACTTCAAGAAACTGCCTCAATCCAGCAGAGCTCCCTAGAAGGTTGCATGGCTCCAAGACACAGTAGGTTATGCCCTAGAGTCAGATCAGAAAGCTTCCTTTTCATTCTCTTCTGGAGATTTGAGATCTTTGATCAAACAAATGGGCCTGCCTAGGATTACTGCAATTACTGTAATCAGCAATACTGCTTTCAGGAGACCCATGGTGGGGGAGGGAGAATCACAGATCCAAGCAAGTTGTATTCCCCAATCATTTGAAACATTGCATTCAGTTCAGAACCTGGAAAAACGTCTGCCCAAACAAGTTTGTCTACACAATTTGAGGCATGCACAACTCTCTTCTCAGAAGAGAAGACTGAAGGAGGACATGATATCCTTCTATAAGTACCTCAATGGCCATCACAAAGAGGAAGGTCAAAATCTCGTCTTGCTAATGCCAGAATGTAGGACATGCAATAATCAATTCACCTTGAGGCAACCCAGATTCAGACCGGACTTCACGAATAGCTTCCTCACTGTCAGAGCAAGACAAGAGTGGAACCAGCTGCCTGGAGAGGTGGTGGGCTCTTCCACAGGAGAGACATTGAAAAAGGCTCTGGACAGCCATCTGAGTGGGATGGTGTAAGGTGGTGTCCTGCAACAACAGGGGTTGGACTCAAAGGCCTTCATGGCCCCTTCCAACTCTTCTATTCTATGATTCAGTCAATCTCATCCTTTGTCTACTTTCTGCCAGAAAGGGTCTTGTTGGTGGTGGTCATGAATGGGTCTGGATGGATCTTGTCCACCAAATCCTTGGTATTCCTTCTGATATTGCTCTTACTGCTACCTCATGATTGTTGCATCAAGCCTTTTCAATCTTGTCAGTCCAGTTGGAGGAAAACAGCTCTGTCTTATTCACCTAGTCCTTCAGGGGAGATTATCATTGGTGAATTTGTATCCATTATATTTGCCAACCCGAGAGTGCCAAAGTTTAATGAATATCCTCTTAAGTCATCTGTAAGAGCCCAGTAAGTAGTTACTGATTTTTTTAAAAATATATTATTCAGATTATGCTAAGTATGCTTTGAGCACGACTCTGTCTTTTTTATTTGACCTATACCCTGGCATAGAGGAATTGATAGACTTTCCATTACACCAAGCAATCCTGAAGTTGAAAAATGGGTGTAACATGAATATTGCAACGGTTTTCATGGATAAATGAATAAAGGTCAACCTAATTCACTCAAACTTGCTCCCTCACACACATGAACATGTCTGGAAAACCTGGGAAGCTTAAAGGGGAATTTCTAGTCATCCTTTTGTGTAACGTGTCTTGCCTCCAATCAGTTGATGCACTGCACTGTGGAAGAAGAGGAGAGATAGTCAGGGAAATAGATTAGGAGTGGGAGAGGGAAAGGAATAACTGAGATGATGGCATGAGCAACCAGGAAAGTGGGTTAAGAAAAGAGTGAATGGCTAGGCTCACACATCATGAGAGGCTGCCTTGCAAGGTTGCCATCGTGTATGGCCTTCTGCCTGGATATGCCTGATGGATGATCAAGTGGTTTCTACAGTAGCATGGTTTCCAGCCTCATCCCATAGCCCTCCCTTGTTTGGCATGTATCCCATAAGTGGACCTGAAATTCAATCCAGCGATGCATTGCCAGAACAGTTCCAGCACCTGCCACTCCTTTCTGAAGAGTTTGTGGTAGCTGCATAGCTTTTAGCTGACCAGGGAAACCATGAGGAAGTATGGGAACCATACACGGACATGCGCTTCTTACTGTGGGCTTGAAAGCCCAAACATACCAAGGCAAGACAGCAGAATTTGGGTAAGAGAACAGACTTTCCTGCATCTTGTCATGTTGTGCGAGCCTGCCTGATACAATCATGCAGAGGCACCCAGTCCATGTTCACTGAGAACTGGGTTCACTGTGTGTAACTCATGTCATTCTGACTTCATGGTGCATGGGAAAGGAATGACAATGGGCACAAAATGTCCAGGGGCACAATGGTTTTTTTTTTTTTTTTTTTTTTGTATCCAGATCCAACCATTGAATCACTGCAGTACATGGGATTTATTTGGCCATGTTGCAACATACTTCTTCCCGTTTCTTTTGGTGGCGATCTTCATATCGGTGGTTTGCACAACATTTTCATATACTGTGTTTGTAAGAATTCCTCTTACTTTTATGGGCAAATCACACTGCATCCTGGAATGCAGTTATATCTCTGATGCCAAGACTTGAATGATATGATCATCTCATTGCAGCATGATCCCTAAGCACTACCAGCATGTCCTCGCCTTTCTTTTTGCCATACAAGAGATCAACAAGCATGCTGAATTGCTACCCAACATCACACTGAGATCAAAGATTAAAGAGAATGCTTCTAATTCAAGGGATGCCTATGCAAATGCCCTGAAACTTCTCTTAAAAGGACAAGAGAATGCCCTCAATTACAACTGTCTTGGGAAAGAGAATGTGATGGCTGCCATTGGGGGGCTCACCTCCCACATCTCAGTTGCGATGGCCACAGCTCCGAGTATTTACAAGATACCACAGGTATGTATTTTGCACTTGATTGGGATAAACACAGAGGGAGTTCCTACATTTGTCCAGTGTCCATCCTGGCAGGTTAAAGGCAGAGCTCTGAATTGCTACTATTCCCATTTTGAAATGTATGGTCTAGCTGGGGATTCCTGCTTGCTGTATTGACACAAAACTCTTTCGGAGCAATCTGAGAGATGAATTAGCTAGAATGAGATAAAGGCAGCATTGTAGTCTGAGCTGTCAATGGTGCATGGTGGAAATGTTCCTCGAGAAAGATATTGCCCCCCTGAATACGGCTGACTACGCATGTTACCAGGGAAAGTGAACAGGAACTGCGAGATGGACTTTTAGAGCTGCAGCATATGGCATAAGACCCATTGAGCAAGATCAGCTTCATAGCCTTGGCAGACATTTGCACAGTGTTTCAGAAGAAAGTGAGGTTTTTCTCAGATTGAAAAGCCTTCTGTATTTCCTGACAGCTCATCTA